CGCCGAGGTAGGCTCCTTACGCCCCTCACCAGTCACGCCGAGGTAGGCCCCTTACGCCCCTCACCTGTCACGCCGAGGTAGGCCCCGTACGCCCCTCACCTGTCACGCCGAGGTAGGCCCCGTACGCCCCTCACCTGTCACGTCGAGGTAGGCCCCGTACGCCCCTCACCTGTTACGTCGAGGTAGGCCATGTCAGAATGGCCGGTGGTTCGTTGATCTAAGCAAACAATTTTATTGATGTAAGTAAATATAGACCTGTATGACGTCATTCGTGTGATAAACAAGGCTCTAGGGCTGCCCTTGTTCAACTCGCGACTCTGCTGTGATTTTATACATGCATCAATGAACATTTGGCGCTGGGGTTTGGTTGCTTGTCGCTTTGTTCCGCATACGTTGCTACATGGATTGATGGATCTTGACCAAACTTGGATAAATATATGCAACTACATACATATAAATTATGCAAAACCACATACATATAGAAACGGAACTATTTTGAAGTGTATGGTTTTAATTTGAAATGTATGCAGCTTAACGTAATTTATTGATAAAAAATGTTTGGGGGGAAAGATGTCAAAGGGGAATAATCCAGGGGTTAGGGAGGTCGTGTGATTGTTAGAGAAAGATTTCAATAAGCCGCTTATGTTATCTTGTGTCAACATGCAGGTCTGTTGACGTGTTCAATGGCAGGTTACATTGTTGTAGATGGAACTGCATAGGACAGGGGCGGGGTCATTAATGGTTTAAAAAGGTTTTGTTAAAAATAGGCAAAAATAGGCTTTGTTCAGTTATCAAAGTAGGCTTAGTGAAGGTATCAAAGAGGGCCTAGTGTGGGTAATAAAGTAGGCTTAGTGCTTAGTAAAGGTACCAAAGTGGGCTTAGTGCCTAGTAAAGGTATCAAAGTGGGCTTAGTGCCTAGTAAAGGTATCAAAGTGGGATTAGTACCTAGTATAGGTATCAAAGTGGGATTAGTGCCTAGTAAAGGTATCAAAGTGGGCTTAGTGCAGTACCAAGCGGGCTTAGTGAAGGTATCAAAGTGGCCTTAGTGAAGGTAATAAAGTAGGCTTAGTGCCTAGTAAAAGGTATCAAAACGGGATTAAAGCGGGTATCAAAGTGGGCTTAGTGCCTAGTAAAGGTATCAAAGTGGGATTATTGCAGGTATGAAAGTGGGCTTAGTGCCTAGTAAAGGTATCAAAGTGGGATTATTGCAGGTATGAAAGTGGGCTTAGTGCCTAGTAAAGGTATCAAAGTGGGATTATTGCAGGTATGAAAGTGGGCTTAGTGCCTAGTAAAGGTATCAAAGTGGGATTATTGCAGGTATGAAAGTGGGCTTAGTGCCTAGTAAAGGTATCAAAGTGGGATTATTGCAGGTATGAAAGTGGGCTTAGTGCCTAGTAAAGGTATCAAAGTGGGATTATTGCAGGTATGAAAGTGGGCTTAGTGCCTAGTAAAGGTATCAAAGTGGGATTGTGCAGGTATGAAAGTGGGCTTAATGAGGATATCAAAGTGGGCTAAGTGAGAATATCAAAGTGGGCTGAGTGCCTAGTGCAGGTATCAAAGTGGGATTAATTAGTATATCAAAGTGGGCTTAGTGAGGATATCAAAGTGGGCTTAGTGCAGATATCAAAGTGGGCTCAGTGAAAATATCAAAGTGGACTCAGTGCAGATATCAAAGTGGGTTCAGTGAAGATATCAAAGCGGGCTCAGTGCGGATTGTGGCATGCATCAAAAGATAATAGTTGACATGTTAAAGATCATACAAAGCACGGGAAAAGGATTCTATAACTATTGGACAATTGACCCTTGAACCCATAGATTCTTGCCAGAAGATTCATTTAATCAGTTAGTAGGCCTATAATTGAGGCAGAATTTTTTTTTTTTTTTTTTTTTTTTTTTTTTTTTTTGAGCGGATCTCTAACTCAGTGTTTCCAAAACTTTTTTGTGCCATACCCCACCCAAGCCTTTCTAAAATTCTTATGTCCCCCCCATGTATCATATACATAATTTTTAAGATTCAAAAATAGTCATCTTCGCTGAAGAAATTTAAATGATAGGCCTAAGTTTTAGGCAGAAATCACTAGGAAATTGGTGACGAAACATTGTAAGTAAATTTTCATAACATATAATAGAGAACTTAAATTCAAGTACGAAATAATTTTAATTGAAGATTTTTCTATATTATTTTAATTAGTAGTAATTATTTATTATTTTTGTGCGTGCTGCAAAGAGATTTTATGTTAGATTCCATTTAATTAGCTTCAGTCTCAAGTCTCCCCGTTGTGTAATATCAACAATTTAATTAGCTTCAGTCTCAAGTCTCCCCGTTGTGTAATATCAGCAATTTAATTAGCTTTAGTCTCAAGTCCCCCGTTGTGTTATATCAACAATTTAGTTAGCTTCAGTCTCAGTCTCCCCGTTGTGTAACATCAACAATTTAATTAGCTACAGTCTAAAGTCTCCCCGTTGTGTTATATCAACAATTTAGTTAGCTTCAGTCTCAGTCTCCCCGTTGTGTAATATCAACAATTTAATAAGCTTCAGTCTCAAGTCTCCCCGTTGTGTTATATCAACAATTTAGTTAGCCACAGTATCAAGTCTCCCCGTTGTGTTATATCAACAATTTAGTTAGCTTCAGTCTCAGTCTCCCCGTTGTGTAACATCAACAATTGAATTAGCTTCAGTTTCAAGTCTCCCCGTTGTGTAACATCAACAATTTAATTAGCTTCAGTCTCAAGTCTCCCCGTTGTGTTATATCAACAATTTAGTTAGCTTCAGTCTCAGTCTCCCCGTTGTGTAACATCAACAATTGAATTAGCTTCAGTTTCAAGTCTCCCCGTCGTGTTATATCAACAATTTAATTAGCTCAAATCTCAAGTCTCCCCGTTGTGTTATATTCAACAATATAGTTAATTTCAATCTCAAGTCTCACCGTTGTGTTATATCCACAATTTACTTAGCTTTAGTCTCCAAGTCTCCCCGTTGTGTTATATCAACAATTTAGTGAGCTCCAGTCTCAAGTCTCCCCGTTGTGTTATATCAACAATTTAGTTAGCCACAGTCTGAAGTCTCCCCGCTGTGTTGTATCAACAATTTAGTTAGCCACAGTCTCAAGTCTCCCCGCTGTGTTGTATCAACAATTTCGTTAGCCACAGTCTCAAGTCTCCCCGCTGTGTTGTTTCAACAATTTAGTTAGCCACAGTCTTAAGTCTCACCGCTGTGTTATATCCAGCCGATTTTTGTTTTTGTTATTGTTGTTTGCAAAAAATCCTTTTTTGCACTAAATCCACATTCAACTAAATATGAAAATGGAACGGTAGCAATAGTTTTCTTGCACATTTGGTTGATTTTGAATATTCGATTTCTGTTTCCCCGCAAAGCCACGCCATCGCTCCTTTTATATTAAATAAAGTTTTAACTGACTCATCATTTTGTAATTTCTGTGAGTTCTTCTTGATACTGCATATTTGAAATATGAGACAAATCCGCTGACACTGGCTGCATCATCCAAGTTGGAAAATCTATTTGTTTCAAATCAGAAAATCTATCTTTTATATCATCCGATAGAGTTTTCAAAAGATCGACGATAACAAGTATAGCGTATCAGTCACTTGACGTTTTTCGAGCCAATGAAACTTTTCAAAATTGTTGTCGTACATATTTTTCTTGTCCATCATATTAGGAACACCATCTGCACCACAAGATGTCATCTTTTTCATTGGTACATTATTGAAATCTAAGTCATTTTTTTAGCTTCTTATATATATAACTTTGGCGGTAGTGGTGCTTTCTAAAGATTTACAGAACAACTTCTCCTCAACAAAATCTCCTTGATCAATATATCTTAAAGTAAGTTATCAGTACAGCCTCACTGGCTCTCAAAGTTGATTCATCCCTTTTCACTGAGAATTTTCTGGTTTTCAGCTGTTCTACAAGTTGAGTTTCAGTATTTTCACTCATTTCCTCTATTCTTCTGCTAACAGCATTGTTAGTGAGTGGCATAGGTTTCACGTCTTTGCCATCTTTTTCCAGTACCGTTTTAAGAAATGCTGATATTGATGGTTTGATTAAATTCTCTCTTATGGTTTGATTTTTCCCAGATCTAGTCACGGGTAAAGACATTTCATAGCTAGCTCCAAGATTGACAGTTGCAATATGAGCATTAATTAGAGAATTTAATGCTGCTCTTTTTTTCAAAATACAAATTAAATCCTAGTAGACGGTTCGTGTTCAAATTCTAGACAGCTCATTTTCGAATTGCCCCCTTAAACAATCAAACTGCCTCCCTGTTGGGCGTGGGCCCCACGTTGGGAGACACCGGTCTAAATTCTATTCCCACGGTGCCTTCTGGTCTATCCCCTCCCACCAACACCCATGCACCCTAAAAATAAGGTTTAAAATAGCTAAGCCTTAAAGATATTAACCCCAATATTTCAGCGTAAAGGGCAAAGACGAAGGTCTGTAAGTGTTAAGATGTTTGGGAGAAGGGTGAGCAGGGGTGTTGGGCACAGAGAGAGAGAGAGAGAGGGAGACGGAGACAGAGAGAGAGAGAGGGAGACGGAGACAGAGAGAGAGAGAGAGAGAGAGAGGGAGACCGAGAGAGAGAGAGACAGAGAGAGAGAGAGAGACGGAGAGAGAGACAGAGAGAGACAGAGAGAGAGAGAGGGGGAGATGGAGACAGGGAGAGAGAGAGAGAGAGAGAGAGAGAGAGAGAGAGAGAGATGAGAGAGAGGGAGACCGAGAAAGAGAGAGACAGAGAGAGAGAGAGAGACGGAGACAGAGACAGAGAGAGACAGAGAGAGAGAGAGGGGGAGATGGAGACAGGGACAGAGAGAGAGAGAGAGAGAGAGAGAGAGAGAGAGAGAGAGAGGAGAGAGAGAGAGAGAGAGAGAGAGAGGGAGAGAGAGACAGAGAGAGAGAGAGAGAGAGAGAGAGGGAGAGGGAGAGAGAGAGAGAGAGAGAGAGAGAGAGAGAGAGAGAGAGAGAGAGAGAGGAGAGAGAGAGAAGGGAGAGACGACACGCAACCCTCACGCGTTTGATCACTAGTGGATTGGGAGAACTTACCCAAGGAATGTGACGTCATCCTGCTGTTGTCGCCTAGTCTCATGCTCACTTCACAAAAGAACAAAATGGGAGCTAAGCCTGTTTACGACTCCCCACTCCCCCTATATCCCACGCACTATTATTTTAGCCAAGTTTGTCTCTTTGAGCAACATGTCCGGTCATCAATGTAATTTTTAAAATATTTCTAACTTATGAGAAATGGGTCTCCCAGTGTACAAATTAAAATTAAATGAATTGTTGATATTTGGGTACTTTAATCTTGTTCAGTGCAGGCCTTTAGGGTGTGCGACCTGTGCCCTCGCACAGGGCGCAGTGGCCATAGGGGCGCCAAGTAAATATTTAAATTCGGTAAGTTTTTTTTATAGTGAACTGTGAACCTCGGGTCCGGCGTCGACAAACGGTATTCTAACTTTTCATCCAATGAGTTTTCATCCAATGAGTTTTCATCCAATGAGTTTTCATCCAATGAGTTTTCATCCACTGAGTTTTCATCCAATGAGTTTTCATCCAATGAGTTTTCATCCACTGAGTTTTCATCCAATGAGTTTTCATCCAATGAGTTTTCATCCAATGAGTTTTCATCCAATGAGTTTTCATACAATGAGTTTTCATCCAATGAGTTTTCATCCAGTGAGTTTTCATCCAATGAGTTTTCATCCAATGAGTTTTCATCCAATGAGTTTTCATCCAATGAGTTTTCATCCAATGAGTTTTCATCCAATGAGTTTTCATCCAATGAGTTTTCATCCAATGAGTTTTCATCCAATGAGTTTTCATCCAATGAGTTTTCATCCAATGAGTTTTCATCCAATGAGATTTCATCCAATGAGTTTTCATACAATGAGTTTTCATCCAATGAGTTTTCATCCATTGAGTTTTCATCCAATGAGTTTTCATCCAATGAGTTTTCATACAATGAGTTTTCATACAATGAGTTTTCATACAATGAGTTTTCATCCAATGAGTTTTCATCTAATGAGTTTTCATCCAATGAGTTTTCATCCAATGAGTTTTCATCCAATGAGTTTTCATCCAATGAGTTTTCATCCATTGAGTTTTCATCCAATGACTTTTCATCCAATGAGTTTTCATACAATGAGTTTTCATACAATGAGTTTTCATACAATGAGTTTTCATCCAATGAGTTTTCATCCAATGAGTTTTCATACAATGAGTTTTCATCCAATGAGTTTTCAACCAATGAGTTTTCATCCAATGAGTTTTCATCCAAGAGTTTTCATCCAATGAGTTTTCATCCAATGAGTTTTCATACAATGAGTTTTCATCCAATGAGTTTTCATCCAATGAGTTTTCATCCAATGAGTTTTCATACAGTGAGTTTTCATCCAATGAGTTTTCATCCAATGAGTTTTCATCCAATGAGTTTTCATCCAATGAGTTTTCATCCAATGAGTTTTCATCCATGAGTTTTCATCCAATGAGTTTTATCCAATGAGTTTTCATCCAATGAGTTTTCATCCAATGAGTTTTCATCCGATGAGTTTTCATCCAATGAGTTTTCATCCAATGAGTTTTCATACAATGAGTTTTCATCCAATGAGTTTTCATCCATTGAGTTTTCATCCAATGAGTTTTCATCCAATGAGTTTTCATACAATGAGTTTTCATACAATGAGTTTTCATACAATGAGTTTTCATCCAATGAGTTTTCATCTAATGAGTTTTCATCCAATGAGTTTTCATCCAATGAGTTTTCATCCAATGAGTTTTCATCCAATGAGTTTTCATACAATGAGTTTTCATACAATGAGTTTTCATACAATGAGTTTTCATCCAATGAGTTTTTATCCAATGAGTTTTCATCCAATGAGTTTTCATACAATGAGTTTTCATCCAATGAGTTTTCAACCAATGAGTTTTCAACCAATGAGTTTTCATCCAATGAGTTTTCATCCAATGAGTTTTCATCCAATGAGTTTTTATCCAATGAGTTTTTATCCAATGAGTTTTCATCCAATGAGTTTTCATCCAATGAGTTTTCATCCAATGAGTTTTCATACAATGAAAGTTGCACTCATGATTTGGATACCAACACAGAGTTAGGGACCAACCGAAAGAGCGTGGAAATTAATTTAATAATACCATACTTCCTTGTCCCTCTTACAATTATTTCAGCAGAAAGAATAAAGGAAACAAAATCGCAAGCGCAAAACAGAAAAAGTTCGCGGTATTTTGGAAAAAGAGCGGAGCCTCACAGTGACAGGGAAGGGGGCGCCGAACGGGTGCTTCGCACGGGGGCATAAGTTTGTCTTAAGTCCGGCGTTGTTCTGTTTCCTGACATTGGTGTACTGTGTTGGTGTCCACAAAAAACAAACAATATAATGTGTATTACGTACTACGTCAGTGAGAATGGTATTATTACGTAATCAAGTTGTGCTTAAAATCTCCAACGGAATGGGGAAGAAACGAACTGAGTTTTAGATCAGTGGTGATGCATTTGAAGGGCAGGTGATTCCAATGGCAATGTCTTTTGTTGGGCTGGGATTAGGGCAAGGCGTGCACCTTGGACAGTGTGTGACGCAGCGGGTTTTCAAATATCGCGATGACTTTTGGGATATTTTTTTTTTTTTTTTTTTTTGCAAAAAGGGCACCCTACCCAAAGTCTTATACATAAATGTGAGTCTCACCAACACTAGATCCAACAATGGGGTGGGTGTTTGGTAGGAGGGGGCTCAGCATTGTGGATACGACTGGCCTCATTCATCGCTGTACTTCAAACATCCTTTATGACATGTACCACATTAAATTATATATATATAATTTAATGTCATTATAATGTTTCGGTTCAATCAGAAAAAACTAAATATTAATGTTCCTGGGTTCATTCTGTCTGTGCGTTGGAAAAACAATGGTAAAGGGGGCGGGGGATACTTTCCCCATTTTACTATTCCATTTTTATGCCGACGCCCCCACCCCCCACAGCGCCACACGTTGTTTTTTGTTTTTTTTTTGGGTGGATAAGTCAAGACCAGGCATAAAATACAAGATGTCTTTGGATTTCTTTCATTCAGTTTACTCTTGACGATATCAATCACGTGACCTCACAGAAAACACATCTCCGACGACACAGCCAGCCCATGATGACGACAGCAGGCCCATGTGTTGCTGGCTGCCGCTGGAAGCGAACGGGCGATCTCAAAGGTCCAAGAGTCGCATCAACAAATGGGGAGGGGGAGGGGGAGGAATATGACGCAAGTTCGTGAATCCGATTGGTCCAAAACTGTGATTCCAAACGTCTGCAGAGCCCCTACCCCCTTTCTTCAACCATCCTGTTCCCCTACCCTTGGTCTTTCACTTCTGGGTGAAATGTAACTGTATGACGTAGATTCCAGATCGATAACTCATATCTACTTCCTGATAAACTGGCCGTACGTTGGTTTTACCCCACACCCCACGGGCCATTCGTTAGTTTTACCCCACAAACCACTGGCCGTACGTTAGTTTTACCCCACATCCCACTGGCCATACGTTAGATTTACTCCACATCCCACTGGCCATACGTTAGTTTTAACCCACACCCCACTGGTAGTACGTTAGGGTTACCCCACATCCCACTGGCCATACGTTAGATTTACTCCACATCCCACTAGCCATACGTTAGTTTTAAACCACACCCCACTGGTAGTACGTTAGGTTTACCCTACACGCCATTGCCCGAACGTTACTTTTACCCTACAACCCACTGGCCGTACGTTATTCTTACCCCACACCCCACTGACCGTACGTTAGTTTTACCCCACACCCCACTGACCGTACGCTAGTTTTACCCCACACCCCACTGACCGTACGTTAGTTTTACCCCACACCCCACTGACCGTACGTTAGTTTTACCCTACAACCCACTGGCCGTACGTTATTCTTACCCCACACCCCACTGATCGTACGCTAGTTTTACCCCACACCCCACTGGCCGTACGTTAGTTTTACCCCACACCCCACTGACCGTACGTTAGTTTTACCCCACACCCCACTGA